AACTACCTATTTTAAAATTTTCTGTCACTTTCTAAGTGTTGAAATTTTATGGAATTGGGAAAGAAGTACCGAGTTTGAAGCGTTCATGACCAAACATTGCAGTTGAATATTCAATTCTGAATTTGATTATTGATGAATAATAAAATAAATCCTACTAGATCGATTGATGGTTTCATTTAATTTATTTAAACCAGGTTACCTATAATAATATTTTTTGGTTAATTTATGAAAATATCAAATTAGCCCGTAATCCTGAATCCTGATACATAAAGTTAGCCTATTAATTTAACACAGGTACGACTGTACTCAGTGTTGCACTATCAAATGCGATTGACGCGCCTCTATGCCAGGGTTTTTATGTTCCTGGTCAGGCTTTATATAGCCTGACCAGGAACATAAAAGAAGAGAAATACTAAGGGTTCGGACAATATTTTCATTGAATAATGTTTCCGACAAAGGTTGTCAAATTGACTGACAATACTGACATGTTTATCGCATAGTACAGTCCACTATGAAAATTAGCTGTGGTTTGTTTCAACTACCTATTTTAAAAAATTTTGTCGCTTCTTAAGTGTTGAATTTTATGGAATTGGGAAAGAAGTACCGAGTTTGAAGCGTTCATGAGCAAACATTGCAGTTGAATATTCAAGTTCTGAATTTGATTATTGATGAATAATAAAATAAATCCTACTAGCTCGATTGATGGTTTCATTTAATTTATTTAAACCAGGTTACCTATCATAATATTTTTTCGTTAATTTATGAAAATATCAAATTAGCCCGTAATCCTGAATCCTGATACATAAAGTTAGCCTATTAATTTAACACAGGTACGACTGTACTCAGTGTTGCACTATCAAATGCAATTGACGCGCCTCTATGCCAGGGTTTTTATGTTCCTGGTCAGGCTATACGTCACTATAATATTACAAAACCATTGGCAAAATAACATACTGCGAATAACAGACAGTTAAATTGGAAAAAGAAACCCGGAACCCTGTATCATTGATCTATTAGCCAATCAAGTATTTGGTCCTCTTAAGGAACAGCTATTATAATCCTACAACACTCTATTCACCTTACACGACAACCTTTCTAAGACACACCTACTTTACACATCCATTTACATACAGCGACTAATAAAGTTATTGTAAAGCCCGATCTGTGAGCACGTAGAATTTTGTCCATTGACCCCAAGCTACCCATCCTTATCGCTCGCGCGTAATTATATTGCTGTCGCGACTGTGCGACGGGCGGCCGCAATGAGTGTGCCATCGCGACAGCAACATAATTACGCGCTAGCGATAAGGATGGGTAGCTTGGGGTCATTGGACAAAATTCTACGTGCTCGTAGACCTGACTATAGTGGTTTAAAAAAAGCTTTATGACGATTAAAACCCTCTGCAAGGTTAAAAATTATATACAGAACAAAATAACTATGTAAATGCTATGCGATAATGCGAGGTACATACAAATGTGCAGTAAGGAATAAACTTAAAATTATTGACAGATTCCGCTATCTATGTTGTTTGAATATAGCTTCGTATATTGACTATATTGTATATTATTACATTAAACACAAAAAAGTTCTTTCCTTAAGGTAGCAACCATTTTAGAACATGCTGTATATATTCTTCTATAATTCTGTATATTTATTCTTATATAGGCTTGAATTATACGAGCGAGACACGTTACAAACATTTACATACATATATTTGAGACGATATCCGCTGTATATTGGTATATTCTTACTGGTAGCGCCTAAATTGAGCATACAAGTGCGACACTAGAACATACAGTAACAACAAAAGAGCACCAGACTTTTATTCACAAAACTAATTTAATCACACTTACAATGAAATACTCTGACAACGACTAACATAATACTAACGATACGTCGTTGGAGATACAATGTATAATAATATGTATATTAGATTCCTACTTAAAGCATTCCGTTGACTACAATATTTGTTTTTAAAATAGCAGAAGCTGAGTTCACGCCATTCACCAATTGGCGCCACTCACTCGCCGGTGGCGCAAACTGGTGAGCGAAAATGCGGTAGTCCTATCGTAAATAATAAAAATATACAAACAATATTTTGATGAACTATATTCGCATTTGGGTACATGCTTACTAACTAATAATATATTATGTGTTTACATGGAATGCCTATATTTTTACAAAATTACACACACTACATAAAACACATACACATCTATTATTGTGCTCGTTAAATGTTCACTGTCAATAACGACCTTGTTAAATTATAAATACACGGTCGCAGTGACAATAAACAAGTAATATTCACTATCTAATATATACTTGCTATTTTTATTTATATAAAACTGATCTGTAGAGTCGAGAGAAGTGGAAATTGATAATTGGGTTTTAAAGATACAAAAGGTGAAGAATAGTTGAACATTGCCCATCAGTATAGAATTTACAGCTGATCATTTGATCGATCTTTGCCCTTTTCTATTTAGTATAGATATAGTGACAGTTTAAGAGAGAACTCTCTTTCTTGAGAATAACAGTAAAATAATTTAAAAATAGGGTACAAGTAATTAGTTTAAATTCGACTCTACAGATCATTTTTCTCGCATCACGTTCATATTCACGATAATTATTAAGTGGTTTCAAAAAATATACTTTTCATTTAGGTACTTGTAGTGAAGAGATTATTTTTATTTTTATAAAACCCTTTTACTAATATTATTTCTTTATAAAACATTATTAGTATTGGGATCGTGGCAAAGGCAATTGATGTATGCGATAGCTGCTATAGAAAATAGTGAATTTATCTAAGATTTTTTATTAAAATTACCTAAATAAAATTTTTTTACTAATTGCATTTATTTTCGAATATCAGTCAACTCGATTGACAGTAAAAATACATTTTTTTTTAATAAAACTGTTAAAATTATACAGTTTTATTTATTAATTTAGAACTTTGGAATATTAATTTTGATATGTTCAATTTGACTGAAATTCGAAAAGCAGTTAAAAATATCAACAAAAATTTTTTTTTTAAGAATTTAAAGAATTTTCCTAAAATATTTTTACAATTTAGACGTGTTAACTAACAAAATGGCAATTATACAGGTACATGGGAATTTTGATATTCGAGTTTTTAATTAAATAAATATCTTCTTAAAAATATTAAGTAGTTACATTTTCTAATAAATTATTAGTGCAGTTATTAGAGAAATCTTTATAAGAGCTGTCGTTATTTTTTCTGAATAATATTCTAATATTTTTCTCAGTTCCTTCTTCACTAGAATGTGAGCAAACCAAAATAACAACAAAATTCTATTTTCGTCTAATAAAAAGCTATTTTGAAACTTAAGTCAATCCACATAAAACACAATATGTAATATGTTATAATATGACAATGTATACTTGTTGTTACACGAAATTACATGGATTGACTTAAAATATCTATTATTTACTATGTATATTATGTACTTAATACTGGCCTTATTAAGTGTATGACTTAAATATCTGATTTCGTTGATAAAGAATGAATGTACATTAGCACTTTTACTATATTACTAGATATTGACAAACCATGTATGTAGTTTCGTATTGCATAGCAATAATTTTAACCACAAAGGGGAAGCCCTTGGTCTGCATCTCACCTGATGGTAAGTGATAATAATCAAGCCGAAGGAAGCGAGCTTCGCCCGGAATCCTCACACACAGAGGAACTGGCTATGCTACCACCAACTGCCAAAACACAATGCTGTTAACATTGTTGTTATGGCAACAGACTTAGGCAAGATGGTGGTAGCTAGCCAGGCGGCTTAGAACAAGTCCCGTTGTGGTTAAAAAAAATACAACACTACAACTAAGTGAAATATATTCGCTGATTTGTGTATCACTGACGCTAAAATATGTATATTATTTTTACTAAAATTACGCACACATGGCTACCATTCTACTGTATATTGTTTATTTTTTACATTTTTACAGTGTGCAACATTACTTACGGTGTTACCAGATATAAAAACTAAACGTATCTATTTAAATTTATTTTTGTAAGAACTGTGCGATATAAAATTACAAAATAGTGGAATTTTATTGCTCTGGCGATATATCACAGGTTAATATGAAAAAATACTTAAAGGCTTCGCGACATATTGAACTTTAATATCATGGCATAAGGTCGAAAACCAATTGAAGATTATGACCTTAATTTTAATTTATAGAAAATACTATTTGGAATAAAGAGAGGAAGTGAAATGAATATTTTTATTAAAGTGTAAATATTTAAAATAATTAACTATTTATGTATTTTTATTGTACTTTATGTTTAAATATATTTAATTTTTTAACCAACGAACTAGACCGGATATAAATAATTAATCGTGTGAATTTTCGCTTTTTCGTTTTTTCATTGAACACAAAACAATACAGCACTATATTCGAGATATACATATAAGAAAATTCGTATTCCCATATATGCCTTAAGGCGACAGTTAACGTTTTAATTGGCAAGTGTGGCCATAAAATTAAATAAAATTGCCATATCTATCCATTTAGTGTTAACCTCTACTCAGAGCGTGAACACTTACGCCAAAATAAGCCTTGCTGTTCTAAAAATATAGCCTGATTTCACTTGTGCTTATACTTTTTTAAATACACAAAAAATACTAAAATAATACCGTTTATTTATAAACCATTGTCCTTCCATATTTCTTCAGAATACAGGATGCTTCAAAACACAGATAATTATTTCACTATTTCCGTAGTTTCGAATTGGCATTATAAAGTGGAAACTGCTTCTACTAAATGCAGGGTAAATTAAAAAAAACTGTTGCTTCAAAATAATCAGTATTTGAAACACTGTCCCTTCCAAATACAGGGTGTACACCACAAATGTTTATAGTACCATACCATTCCATCCACCGCAAAAGTTCGTACGTACATACATAATACCGTACATTCTATACTTTATCACTGGAGTAAGGGGTCGGATCAGCCTCGTATGCGCGAGACGATGGCTGAACAGGCTCGTGTCTGCGTGACAGCCTTTATGATAGTCACGGGGGTCCCAGTGAATGTGCGTTGTGGAAATAACCTCGTATGGCCGAACTTATGTTACACAGGAACCCAATTCCATCAGTGGGCGTACGGGGTGGAATCAACCTCGTACGAGGCTTACCGCGCCGCGTCGTACTGCCGTACGAGGTCGGGGATAGCGTGCGGCGCGACGGGCACGCAACGCGACAGCTCGTCTAAACTGCGAACGTAGCTTAACTTGCGGAAGAATTTAGAACTGAAAATGGATACAAAAATGTATTTGAATGAGGGTGTTCGCGATTGAAAAATCCGCCAGATGGCAATACGTAGACCGGAGGTCCAAATGCTGCATGATTGGTGGATTTTGACATGACATTGACAGATATGTCAAAATCCACCAATCACGCAGCATTTGGACCTCCCGTCTACGTATTGCTATCTGGCGGATTTTTCAATCGCGAACACCCTCATTACTTGAGCTTCTTCAAAATATCTTTATTGGGAACAACAGGTACGTACACGTACAGTCATCTTCAAATAGTTCGTGGCACCCAAAGTAGCCAAAACTTTCGCAACACGATTGTGTTGTTATTTAATTTTTTAGCGTTAAGAGTCGCATCTCAAACTAATTTGAAAATTATAAATAACTTGAAAAAATCGAACTGCCTAAGGCGGGAATTGAACCCACGACCTTCTACCACGATTGTGTTGTCGACTTTTTAGCCACTTTGGGTGTCACGAACTCTGACGCTGGACTGTACACACGGCCACACTGTTAACTATCCATTTCCGTTTTTGCTCTCGCTCTCATCAAATGACGATTCTTTGCGATAGAACGAGACGACATGACAGGCAATGGATAGTTAACACTGATGCCAATGGTACTATAATTTTGAGATTGACTCTACTGGGAATCAAACCAATGATTTCAAAACTACTTCAAACTTACCTGACGAAAGGCTTGGTGAGTATCACAAACGACTTGAGCCAAAACGTTGGGTGAACTAAATACAGATGCTTCAGACTTTTTCTTAATCTGCGAACAAAACAAAATTATTTAATACAGAATCGTTCCGAGTCCGCTCCATCGCCCTTTGAGAGACCTTGAGCCTCCTTATGAGGCCCAAACTGGTCAAAGACTTTTGTCTTTCGTCTTTTTGTTTTGTCGGGGCAGAAAAGTTATCGAGTGGCGACCACGGGCCGGAAGACGAAGCGTGGGCAGGCTCCCTACGGTGGACCGACAGTCTCTATTTGAGTGTAGCGTGAGTCTGAGGATGTAACGTGGCTCTACGAAGTTGTCCCGTGTGCCTATGACTCTGTAGCGTCTCTATGATGTTGTAGCGTATCTCTATGAGTCTTACCGCCGGTCTATGAGTTTATAACACTCGTGTAGCCAATGGATGGTCGCCACGGCTACAGGTTTTCTCTTTGAGGTTGTAACGTGTACACAGGGAGTCTACGATGTTGTAGTATGCCCCCATGAGGCGTCTCTGTGCGGCTGTAGCGAGTCCCTATGAGATTGTAGCGTAAGTCTGAAGATGTAGCATGCATCTAAAAAGTTGTAGGGTGGCTCTACGAAGTTGTAGCGTGCCTCTATGATATTGTAGCATATCTCTATAAGTCTTACCGCCTGTCTATGAGCTTATAGCACTCGTGCAGCCAGTGGAAGGTAAGCATGCGTCTCGCGCCGGCTATAGTGTACCTATCTGTTCCTATAAGGTTGTAGGGTGTCCCTATGAATTTTTAGCGTATCCCTATAAATTTGTAGCGTCTCAATTGAATGTAGTGTATCTCTATGAGTGTCTAACGTGTCTTTTTAAGGTTATAGCGTGTCTTTATGACTGTAGCGCGTCCCTATGAGGTTGTATTGTATATATCCCATTAAGGCTGTAGCATGTCTTACCGCCTAACACTCGTGGAAGGTCGCGGCGGCTACAGGTTGTCTCTGTCAGATTGTAGCGTGTACACAGGGTGTCTATGAGGTTGTAGCGTCTCTATGAGGCCGTAGCGTGACCCTATGAGGTTGTAGCGTGACCCTATGAGGTTGTAGCGTGTCCCTATGACTCTGTAGCGTATCTCTATGAGTCTTACCTCCGGTCTATAAGCTTATAGCACTCGTGCAGCCAGTGGAAGGTAGGCATTCGTCTCGCGCCGGCGCTGCCATGCAGATACACTAGCACGTAGTCATCAGTCACCAGTCGCTCCAGCGTCCAGATGACGTAGCTGCAAATATACAGGGTGTTTAATTTTAAATGTTGTTAATGGAATAGAATAGAAAGCATTTATTAGTCTCATAACAGGCTACATGTACAAATTATTTATTTATTTATAATTAACTTTTTAAAAAAATAAAACCGACTTCAAATGCGTGAACACAAAAAAAAACTAAAAATTAAAAATATTGCGTATAAAAAAGTTCATCCCCAATTTTCCACCCTTGGGGGTGAAATATTTTCTTCAAATTCGCATGAAACCACCCTTTTGATAATACATATTCAACAAAAAAAGAATCGTTCAAATTGATTTATAATCGGCGGAGATATTGCGTATAAAAAAGTTCATCCCCAATTTTCCACCCTTGGGGGTTGTTTTTTCTATTATTAAATTTAAATGGGACCACCCTTGAAGTATTACCTATACGCTGAAAAAAGATTTTTTCAAATCGGTTCATAATTGGCGGAGTTATCGCGTAACAAACATAGAAAAAAAAAACATACGGGTTGAATTGAGAACCTCCTCCTTTTTTGAAGTCGGTTGAAAATTAATTATCACAGTACGTACACTTGAGATATATGATACAAAAAGGTCTACATTGAAACGTGCTTTGAATAGTAGACAGTCATGTTTTGAAAGGTACACTAGTAGGTACCCTGCATACTAAAAATAATTTGGAATTAAGACAAGACAGTAAAGACAAGTAAGCCAGACGAGTTGGGGAGGTAAGACAACAGTGGCATATTATTAGGGTCCCGTTAACATCGTATGACATGAAACACCTGTATTTGTTATCAAGATTTGGTATTTGTGAGTACGGAAACGTAAAAAAAGGCAAGCAATCTTGTAGCGGGTTTTTGGGCTGACACTGTAAAGGTTTTTTGTCGACACGACAACAAGAAGACTACATAAAGTAGGCGTAAAGATAGTCTTTATAGGAATTAGACTACAAGGAAAACATAACAGTAACACGTAATACAGGAAGAAGTAGAAGTTTTTATGGATATGGAAGAATAAGAACAGTGTCGTACTCACAGGAACAAATTGTCCATCACGTATCTGTAGTCCGGCCGCGCTCCGTCGGGCAGGTGGCACGCGCTGAACACGATCACGGCCGCGCCCGCACCGTCGTAGCCGCCGTGCGAGACCACGCGTTTGTATGGCTCTATTACCTGCCATCATCATCATCAGTCATCGTGAGGTCATTTAGAACAGACGGTGAAACGCAACTGCAACGAAACTACAACGAAAGCCGCCATGCGAGACCACGCGTTTATAGGGCTCGATCACCGTCATCATCATCATCACCATCATCACTAATAAAGGGAGCGAGCTTCAAGAAATAAAACACGACACGAAAAAAGTTTAGCCTGCGAATAAGAAGCCATTACAATCGTCATCATTCTCATCGCCATCATCAGATCGAAATCGTGCTCTTTTCATCATCATCATCTCAGCCATAGGACGTCCACTGCTGAACATAGGCCTCCCCTAATGCTTTCCATGTTATCCAGTTCCATGTTCCGGAAAACGCAGCGTGAGACGTCCATCCAAAGGTGGATCGACAACATCATAAACGTAGCAGGAAGGCGCTGGACGCAGGCCGCTACCAACCGGGAAACATGGAAATGCGCTTTTACGGTTAGATAACTTGTATCACCATCAGCTCATTTTGTCTACACAGCAAGATCCCGTATGAAAGAACGAGTTTTATGCGTCTAGATGACCTAAACCCATCATCATCAGGTTATTTAGTCCCTATTTAGGAGCACAACTCTTTGATTTAGCCCTACATGTTAGCGCGTTGAACACGATCACCGTTGCTCCCGCCGCATTGTAACCGCCGTGAGAGACCACGCGTTTGTACGGCTCGATCACCTGCCATCATCATCATCAGTCATCAGGTCATTTAGTCTCCACTCCACACAGCACGACCCTCTCTAATCCTGTCATATTGTCGAACAAGACCTTACACTGCCGGCAGATCAGAGCCGAGGTTTGCAGCAAACCAGGATGGAAAGCAGCCTAGGGCTTGGGAGGCAGCAATTGCCTTTAAGGAAACGAAGGGGAGATGACTTGGTGGCTGATTTTCTTCCACCACTTGTCAGCACCAGACGATGACGGACGGTCGGTCAGGACAGACGCTTGGGCTTTATTTGGCACTTGAAAAGGGCTGCAATAAAGATTTTGTATCAGACCTTCATATCGCAGGTGACGTGGCTGTCTCCCCGGGGCACACTGAGCCAGGATCGCTCGTTGTTCATCTCTTCAGCGGCCGAGTATTCCGGTATCGGGTCGCTGCAGGAGCTGCCTGTGTTGGTCGATTTAGACCTGAGAATAATAATAATAAATTTCATTTATTCAGATTTCTGGGCTGGAAGACGTAGCGTGGGCAGGCCTCCTACTAGGTGGACCGACGATCTGGTAAAGGTCGCGGGAAGAGCCTGGATGCGGGCAGCGCAGGACCGTTTATTATGGAAAACCTTGGGGGAGGCTTTTGTCCAGCAGTGGACGTCATTTGGCTGAAAAGAAGAAAGAAAGAAGATTCAGATTTCAAGATCCAATTATGTTAGTAGCAATGTTCTTACANCCATAAAGAAAAAAAAAAGTATTGGAATTTATCGACTGAAGTCGCTGTTTGGAAGCAAGTTTGATCGTAGTATGGAAGTTTCCGTACCCTGGTTTTGAGTTTTGACAGTTTTGACTTTTTGACAAGAGGACCACAGACTAGAGCTTAAGCACAAAGCACAATATAGATGAACTACACTGAAATGTCCCACCGACGACATTGACAGAAGGGCGCCACCATCTTCGTGCAACTAAGGTTTCCACCGTGGCAAAAGTCGGAACTAGTGATCCGCTATTGACGGTGGCCCCTCTGTCAGTGTCAAATAAAGGACAGTTCAGTGTAGTTCATCTATATCTGTGAGCACAAAGCTCGTAAAAAAACAAAAGTGACAACAATCATTGAGATACTAAATAAGTGGAGTGGTCTTGTTGATCTTTTATACATGATGTATTCTTAATTACACGATTTGGGAAAGGAACATGGCCACAATATAGACATGAATGTGTCTGACAAAATGTTTGTTTATTCGAAAATATTAAACAGCTTTTTGCGCTTTTAGAAAATGTCTGAGCACGTTAATTTTATAGGCATGCCCGGTCCATGGTATCACGTCACATAGAGCAAGCTTTAGTCTGTGGGGGTATACTAGCTTTTTTATTGATTGTGGTTGTCAAAAAAAAAAGGGTTGTGGGTGGTTGTGTTGCAGTCTTGCAGTTTTCAGCATAGAGAAAAGTAATACCATAGGATACACCACAGTTTTGCACTGTGTTTCCTATGTATTACTTTTCTCTATGGTGTTTTGCACCAGTTGCACTTTGAGTCATTTGAGTTGCACAAATACACAAATTGTTGCAGTTGCGAATAATATTGCAAATTGCATGCAGGCAAATTTGGCTTGTCCGTGCCGGGTTTTATTGTTTATAATGTGTTATTATTAGTTAGTTACTGCAAACACAGTGATTACTTGCTCAGTGAATAGTACCTCTAGCAGAATTCAGGAATCTTTTGTAGAGGCGTAATGTCTACATCAAGTAATATATCACAATCTGCATACTCTCCATCTGAACCCGAAACTCCTCAGGTATTATTATGATGGAAGCTCGTTTTCCCAAAAGACTTGTTAGCTTTCCGCCCGCGGTTCCGCTCGTGTAAACTACACGATCTTGGCTGTTTTCTTTTGAACTTGTAACTTGATATATAAAATATAATTTAGTCAAGTATTATGTTACAGAGTACTACACAAGCCCGTCTCCAAAATTTTGACCAATCCTTGAACCACGTGGATATTGGTCACAGCATTGAGCAGTCTTTGAAGAGTGCACAGAAAGAAATACACCAGAAGCGGATTCAAACTCTAAGAAAAGAACTTGATTTTTTAAAATCAACTGAATGGGAATTTGAGTATGATAAAGGTTTTGTACAGTAAAACATAAAAATAAGATCAAATTATTATCAAAATGATTTCGTACATCAAATCATTTTTTAGTTATTTATTTTATAAACCTGTAGAAGAAGCTGACGATGATGAGAAAGAAAACTTTTTAGCTGAACAGCTTGTTGATTTAGAAGCCGTCAATGAGGAATATACTTGGAATGAAGAAAGTGCAACAGACATACCAAGAGATGCAGTATGCTTTCAAAGAACTGGTAGGTATTTAAACTTTTGTAAATATGGGTATCATCATTTGAATGGAATATATTTAAGTATGTCAAAAAAATATTTTAAGATGTAAAATGTATTATTTCTAAGCCATAAAATGCCATTTGGATATTATTAATAAACATTCTTTTATATTTCCAGGCATTGTAACATATCTCGATGGCAGTAACTACATATTAATTGATGGAATGCTATATTATGACTTATCATCTACTTTAATAACTGTTCGAGTTAACGATAAAGTGCTCTATCTTGCTTATACTGACAAAAATGAGAGAAATGTAGTTGTCAGACTGTTGGAAAACCAAGGATTAAGTTGGGCAGATGATGAATGCACTGAGCAGGACAGTTTTAAAGTTATAAACCATGTTATTATTGGTGAAGTTGATTATCGGCAAGAAAGACTAGTGTACATAAAAGATAGTGACTTGAAATTCAACCTTGATAATGTAGAGGGCATATTTGTCCCTGTAAAAGGTGACTGGCTTGAGATGAGCTGTAGAATACAATTTGATGAAAAAAAACCTTGTGATATAGGTTCTGCTCAGGTAAACAACAATTTTGTTTGTTTAGTATTGTTTTCTCATGTCATGCGTTTGCCAGATACTTTAGTTGTATGTACTTATGTAGGTACATTAACATATCAATTGATATGTTTCAGGTCTTGGAAGTGATCTCATTTAAACCAGTGAGGAGTAAAATAAAAAATGCCATGATAACTGCTTGGTTTGGTGACAATGGCATTTGTGATAGACTTATTTATTTTGATAAGTCATGCCTGGATAACTTTATTGAACCGCAAGTTGGGTCTAAGGTACATAATATTTAATTTGGTTATGGTTTTTGGTTGCTTCATTGGGATCTTGTTATTAGATACATAATTACCGTTTTTGTTGAATATTTTAGGTCATGGTTAAAATAATTGAAAGTAATCAAGGAGCTTGCACATGGAGAGCAATAGAACTTATAATCACAGAAACCAAGCTATCAGATAATGAAGAAGTCTCAGATAATGTACCAAATGAAGAAGAGAAAAGTATAGCTTTGGAAAAAGAAAAAAATATGGAAATCACTTATCCCCTTAAATTTCATAATTTAAACATCAAAAATACTGCAGAGATAAAAATGAACGTAACAAATCATGGAAATGAAGTTCAGTTCATAAATAAGTTGATTATACTTAGTAAGAAGAGAGATTCTCAAATAAACATTGAACCATTTCTAACTCGTCCAAAGAGACTATTACCTAAAGAAACATTTACATTCACTATTACCTGCATTCCAAAATTTTTGGGTAATACCAAAGAAGCGTTTGTTATTGCGTGCAAAGGCTTTCAAGCCCGAAGAATTATTGATATAACAGTTGTAAATGAAAATGTATCAATAAATACCAAAAATGCAATGTATAATAACCATATGTATAAAACAGATAAAGAAAAAATCGAATCCATGAAAAACGTAAGGAAACAAGAAAACCAACATATTTTACCTGGTGTGAGACCTGTAAAACCACCAGCTTTCATAGCTGTAAAACTAGGCAGTTTTCCCATACCAGAAAAAGTTTGGTCAGTTATTTTAGGAGATTCAGAACAAACGGCACTTAGTGCTGATTACCATAAGGTAATTACCAGAATTGAAGATAAACTGCCATGCCTATCACAAGAATTAAACATTCATAATTACACTGACAAATGGCATAACTTACTTTATATTGAAGAAATTCAACATAATTTAAACATGAGGGCATATGATAGACAAAAAGTGTTTTTGATTCGCTGCCAGGAGTACCTAGCTTATGAAATTAATGGATTAGCTGAACAGAGACCATCATTAATGAAAGGAGACAAAGTGGTAGTAAAAGATGGTTGGGACACAAGTGCACCTCTTTATGAAGGATATATTCATGTCATAAAAGGAGACATGGTTTTAATGAAATTCCACCAGCGATTCCATGAAATCTACAGTGGTAGTGATGTGTCTATACAATTTAATAGTGGTCGCGCTACCTTTCGTCGAGGTCACCAAGCTGTTAATTTAGCTATATCTAATCTAGGGCCAAGCATATTATTTCCAGGTCGTATTTCACCTCGACCAAGACAAGTTTCTAAAGAAATAGTTGCTGGAATTAAATGGTTCAACAATGATCTTAACTTAGGACAGAAAACAGCAGTGACAAACATTTTATTGGGCGAATGCCGTCCATTACCGTACATTGTATTTGGACCACCCGGTACCGGAAAAACTGTTACTGTCATAGAGACTATTTTACAAATCCTGCAGACACTGCCCGATAGCAGAATACTAGTGGCTACGCCATCAAACAGTGCAGCAGATTTAATTACACAGAGATTAATTAAATACAGGGAAAAATTTTCAGATTCAGTGGTCCGGATTATTGCTAATCATTTAGCTGAGTCTGATAAAGTACCTGATAACATTAAACCATTTTGTGCAACACTAGATATTGCAAGAGAAGAAACATCTAAGTCAAAATACTCTGTCAAAGATGGGCTTAATTTGAATTGTCAATCATCTTTTATTGGGAGACATCGAGTTACAGTAGGAACTTGTTTCTGTATAGGAACTCTGGCTTTGATGGGTCTCCCGAAAGGCCATTTCACTCATGTGATAGTAGATGAGGCTGGCCAAGCCACAGAACCGGAAATTATGATACCAATGACTTTTGTTGATAAAGAAAATTGCCAAATTATATTAGCTGGTGATCCAATGCAACTGGGGCCAGTGATTATGTCAAAATACTGTTTAGAATTCGGAATGGACGAATCCTATTTGTCAAGAATCCTCAAAACATTTCCTTATCAGAAAGATTATGCTGCATTTTCAAACGGATATGATCCGCGACTAATCACAAGGCTCACTGATAACTACAGATCTCTGGAGGAGGTCCTCACATTGCCTAGCGAAATGTTTTATGACTCTTCATTAGTGGCTCAAATTGATAGAAATGAAACATGGATATTAAACATACTGGAAGTGGTTAATGAAATTTTCCATAGAGATGATGTAAGTACTGGAGGGATTTATGTATATGGAATAAAAGGAAACAATATGAGAGCAGAGGATAGTCCATCCTGGTACAACCCTCAAGAAGCTTCTATGGTAGCTCTGACTACTTGCAAGCTGTACAAAAAGCATTTGACTGTTGATGATATTGGAATTATTACCCCATATGTAGCTCAGGTAGTTATTTCTCTAACAACTTTTCTTTAAGTTTATTAATTTTTCTCTAAATAATTATATGTTTAAAAATTGTTTTCAGATCAAATATCTCAGACTCGTATTTGAGGCAATGGGGCTACCTCAACCTAAAATTGGTACTGTAGAGGACTTTCAAGGACAAGAAAGAAAATTAATACTAATATCTACTGTGAGATCTACAGAAAACCTGGTGGCAGAAGACCTAAGATTCACTTTGGGGTTTGTCAATAATCCAAAAAGGTTAAATGTTGCTCTGACTAGAGGCCAAGTCGCAGTACTTTTATTCTGTAATCCGCGCCTGTTACGTAGAGATGTGTCATGGAATAAAGTTATTACTTGTTCCGTCAATGAGGACAGATATATGGGGTGTGATTTGCCTGAAGTTGTGAAATGTAAAAATCAAATTGAAATATAATGTTACTTAACTATAGAACAAAACTGATTTTTATTTTTATTGGAAGAGATTAGAAAAACCAAAACCGCCCAGTTTCTTAGTTATGGGTTTGCCTTGGTAACTAGGCCTAGTTTTTAAAATATAATTTATATAAATATTTCAAAATACAGGATGGGATTTCAAGGAGTGTTGCCAAGTTTTATAATAACATCTTTATAACATTATTGAATCTGAGTCGCTCCTAAAATTTGGCAGTGCCTTGAGGTTTCACCCTGCGTAAGTATAATAAAATATAAAAAGAAATGTATAAAATAATAAGTTGAGTTTCTGAATAAAATTCACGCAGTGGGCGGTGCACATAATTGACGGCCACTGTTGGGAGCAGGAAATTTTCGAACGAGTGGTGTTCAAGGACCGGAAGTTGGTACTTTGAACCGGTTGGAGGTTGCGGAAGGCATCTGTATGCTGGCAGTGCATGACCGTTACAACGACCAGTTAAAAAAACTTGGAGAAGACCATCCTCCAGCAGTACGTCTTTAGGTTAAAGAAACTCACGAAATGAAATTGAATAATGTTGATTCCATGAACAAAAATGTGAGAAAAAAAAACATGCAGCTTTAAAACTATCTTCGTAAATGTTCGTAAATGAGAAATGATTACAATTTTTTGATGAACGCAAAAATAAGCATAAGCCAATGTTAAGTTTTAAACAAATTAGTTAAATAAAATCAAGAATAACATGTAAATTACTTTTTAAATATTTTCATATTTTATTTTTTAATTGTTTGTTTATTAATGTATCATAGTAATTGAGCTATCTTTGTAAACGAAAACGGAACATCAAACGTCACGTCACCGAAGAGACAATCACGAAAAAAGTATTTTGTTTCTGTTTCAGATGTCGTTTTAGCTATTAATTCAGGCTCATAAATAATGTTTCGCTATAAATAAAGTACCAAGCTGCATACTATTTCAGTAAAAAATATTCCGTAAAGTACTTTATCAAGAATGGAAGAAAATCTAAACGGTGTTGTTTTGTGTGACAATCTGATCAAATGGTTACAGACTTTAAATCTTACTGCTAAACATGGAAATCCTTCAGGTAAGCTATTTTATTAATCGCTGGTAAATAAGCCACCGGTTCACACATTTTGAGCAGTCTAAACAAATCAATTGCATCCATATTATGTTTGATACCTCAGCGAATGATTTCGTCATGTTGTTCTTGCATTGGATTGGTACATCTCCTCATTTCTTTCTCTATTGGCTAATGTAACATTGGTTTTAAAGTAACTCATCCGACTCTGTTTTTATGTCGTTATAAGGTTAAGAAAATGGTGTAAATAATTTAATTTCTCTATTGCTTCATTTGTCTGATTGTGTGTAGGTGTTTGTCTCTTTAGTAAATGTACTAAACATAGATTGAACATAGGAATCTGATAGTGTTGACTCGAACCATCTCAAATTTTAATTACTTTTGATTGCAGATCTGTCCGATGGGGTGGCTATAGCAGAAGCCCTCACTCAAATTGCCCCTGAGTACTTCACTCCAGCATGGAATTTGAAGATTAAAACTGATGTGGGCAATAATTGGAGACTGAAAGTGAGCAACCTGAAGAAAATATTGGAGGGTGTTGTTGGTTTGTTGATATTTTGATCACTTATTTGTTTCTTTTTGATTACAACAATTTCTTAGTAATTTTGTTGATTTTGTAACAAAACAAAGCAAATTTTTATTTGTTTGCCACCAAACAAATTTTATTTAGATCTAAATGTCTTTTAATTAGTTAATTTGATCTTTTTCCAGATTATCATCAGGATATTTTAAACTTAAGCTTGCAGGAGTTTTCAAGACCAGATGTGGTGAATATAGCAGAGACTGCAGATCAATCAGATCTGGGGAGGCTATTGCAACTTGTGCTCAGTAAGTTTCTGTTACTATACACATTTACACATCAATAATAGAAGTAGCAGCAAATCAATCAATTTAAACTGGGTAGTTCTTTTGGTAGTCTATTAATTACTAATTTACTTCATAGTAGTGTAGTTTAGTGAATGCATGAAAGTTTCTAGATATTTGACCTTCACTTCAATAGCAATTTGAATGTGTGTATGCTGAAATACACAATTTTGTTATATTTATTACTACAATACATTGAGCAGGAAGTTGGTCAGTAGTACTAGTTTCTTATTGGTAATAATAATCATGCAATGAATAGGAGTATGAATTATTTTTTTATTGTTTTATAAAGGCTTTGACTAAAGAGATTTTATTCTGATTTGCAAATATTTCATTCTAATAAAATAAATTATTCCAGCCCTTTATTTTAAACTATTTAGTCTCTTGGCATAGGCCTCCCAAAACAATTTTCATTGAGTTCTGTTTCTATTTCGTAAATAGGGAATTAGCGTTATAATTCTGTACATATTATTCTAGGTCCACACTAATCATTCTAGTGTATGAGTAGTAGGTTGGAGTCTACTTGGAGTTTTGCAAGAAATAATTTACATTTTATACAGCAATACAAGTCTGAAAAGAAAAAATGATTGAATAAGCACACAAGTAGGTATTTCATTGTACAGGGATCAAACCTGTGAACTAATAGATTTATCAATAAACACAGTTTCTTACTGAGTGACCAACTGTCCTACTTTTCTCACATCATGTGATGCACATCTTATTTTATAGTTGTACTTTATCCAAGTCCATAAAACAAAACTGTCTAGTAAGCTGTCATATTGGATTTTAATTGGATATTATTTATTTGTTGATGTCATGCACAGTACCACATCCAGTGTTTATTATTATATTATAATTCATTATAGGAAAAATAACACGTAATTAATTAATTATTATAATTAATAAAGCTATATTATGTTATTAGTTAATATGTTAATATCATGTATATTTTAATTGACAGGCTGTGCTGTCAACTGCATAAAAAAAGAGGAATATATAACTCGTATTATGGAAATGGAGTTATCATGCCAGCGGTCAATAATGCAAGCAATACAGGTCAGTGATAGTTCCGTTATAAGAAAGCAGCATTTATAATTTCATTTACCTTTGAGAATTCATTGTAGTCTCTGTTTGTGTTGCATAGCAATGAGAAAGTATCACTTTCATTGGCTTTTTTTTCAATACCTACTCAATATTTTAATAAGAAATATTAATAAAATATTTTTTAATCATAATAAGTATTTAAATGTTATTCTGAATCTTGTTTTTTGTTACTTCTTTGAATAGTGTAATTAATTTTTACTACTGTTCTATTCATAAATAAATAAAATGATAAAAGGAATTAAAAAAAAGAATAAATTTCATCAACTTATTTGCTTAATATGTATGATGCTTTAATTAAAAGATGATAAGTATTAATACTTACTCCAGAATTATTCACATGGTGCAAAGCAATATTCAAAAAATACTTTTTAGAGTGTCTTAGGGACTTAGGGATTCATCTTTTAAGGCATCATACATATTAAGCAAATTAGTTGATGAAAGGACAATGGGCAAAATGGTACCCGGCTCGAATAGATATGTGTCTAGTATCGTTTGAAAGGTCTTACCAAGATGAACAACTTTTACTATAACCACCAGCCTCAGATCTGGTTGTGTACGAAGATATACATACTTTTTTGCAGAATGGTACCCGGCTTGGATTAAAATGACATTTCCATACCAAATGACAATTTAAGCCAGAGTTCACTTTGTATAACTTTTATTAATAAAGGGGTTAAAGTTTTATTACTTCTTAAGGGTTTTATTATGAGTTGCTAAAGCGAATAAACCCACAAGACCCAATAAGTCCACCCACAAGATGGACCGACGACCTCATAAAGGTAGCGCCACCAACCGGCCATTGTGGAAATCATTGGGGGATGATCATGATGATGATGATGAAAGCGAATTTTCCTTTTCAATGCTTCTTTTAGTTATATTAATAGATTGTAGTCATAATACATACTCGTATACCTACATAGATGATTGTGTTATACTTTCATTATAATACTTAGTGGAATTACTGCTTTCAAAACGTGAATTAGAACTGGCCCCATAGCAGACATTTTCCTACATCTAAAGGCCTTTTAAAATATATATCGGTTATGGCTATTGGAGCGGGTACCACTTTCCATACATTTGTGCCCATCATCCTTTTATTCATTTTTTTTTTTAGTGTGGCAACTCCAATATTGTTTGGGCAATATTGCTTCTAAATGGTGCCATATAATATTGGTTCATTGCTGAATATTTTATGAATATTTCAATCAACATGATTTTTAGATACAAACTAGCTTTTGCTCAGATTTTAAGGCACACGCTTTTCCCTGGGTTTCAATGGTTCAGTGTCAGTTACTTTCTTCATTGGCAATATTAATAAAGATACAAAGACTTATTATCGGAATTAAATCATTGCAAATGAATTTAATGTGATGTTGGTATCTTATAAAGCAGTGTTCCGCGAACTTTTTGTGTTCAAGGTACATCTAGGAAAACGAAACTTTTTGGAGGAACGAAAAGTTTTGAAAACACCACACATAAAAAATCATTTTTTAAATAATAAATACCTTTATTAGTCTTACCCTTACTTACTAAAAATAAGTTTATAAGATAATCTTATTTTTCTGAGGCCCACTATCTAATGAGCACGGTACACCAGTGTGTCGCGGACTCGCGGTACACCCTTTGCGGAATACTGTTATAAAGTAAGGACTAACTTCGCTTGGCTCGTCTTGGCGGGGGCACTACCGTGCCCCTAGATATGACATTGCTACATTTTTGCAATAAAAATGTAGAGTTCATAATTGATACGTTTGTATTTCTAAATAATTTTTACATCTGATAATAAAAATATCCATCAATAATAATCATAGGATCTGTAATACTTATTAATTAACCTACATAGGATAGCTATATCTTATATTCTCTACCACATTAAATAAACAAACAAACCCAAATGATGATGGATGCTCTGTGCACTGGCACAAATGATGTATGTAATAAATATTGAAACAGACAAGACTAAGAGCTAAATCTGATTACATAGATTTGCGGTTTGTGGTAAACTGATAGTGAGGGTATAGAATGTGTTGGCAATGTTGGTTTATGTAACAGAACAGACCACACACCACACATCCATTGCATTATTGAAAAAATGTGCAATAATAGCTACTTAATTACTAATACTTATAGATTCTGGATTCTAATAGCCATCCATAGTTAATCTGATTTCCACTTCATTAGACTGAATTCTGTGTGTCAATACCTATTTATAGTGTTTGAGGAATGTTGATTTATGTTTATTTATATTATAAATGCATTCAGTCTGTCTGTGATGACGGGGCGTGTCGCTAGTATTAGGTGGATACAATCACTCTATTAATTGAAATAAGTAGAAAATAAAATCTATCAGTAATTTAAATTGTTTCTCCGGTTTCCCCGACAGTAATTAACAATTAAAACCGACTTTTAAATGAGAAAAAACGTAATTAGTAAATAAGAGTAGTTGGAAGCACCTAATTAGATCATCTTTTTTATCTTCATGTAAGCGCGAAACGCTTCTAGTTCTTATGTTTAGTCTTTACAAGAGCGTACCGCGATTGTAAGGCCTTAAAGTAGCTTAGTTTGTTGTGTTTATTTAAAAATAATTCCATTCATTGTTTGAAATGGGGTTTACAGTACTAATAAACCTTTTGTTAATTAGTGAGTGCCTAAATTTATGTAGATCCTTAAAAGTTGTGCTTACGTGCAATTTAAAATCATCCATGTGTAACATGCAGTGTTAATATAGGCGTTCATTACAATACGTATATAACGTTCATCATTGCAAAATTATATTAAGCATGCAGTCTTACCCAACAGCACTTTCGAAGTTGCGTGCTTGGTACACGCCGTTTTTACAGAGACTGAGTGTTTAGTTACGGTTATTTTAATGTCCTTGTAACACGATAGTGTTGTGATATGTTCTGTCAGTTATATTTTGAATGTCGCTGTGAAGTGTCATTGAGCATCAGACTTGTGGCGCAGTATGAGGTTTAAGAACAGAAGTGTTGGTTTTGTCGGCTAGGAACTGGAGACGCTGACGCTGGGCGTGAATCGTGGCAGTCTGCACCTGGAGCCGGCGCCCGCCGACCACTCCGATGCGGACATGAAGGAGGTGCTGGCGCAGCGCTGCCATGAGCTAGACACACAGGTATGCACGTCTCTTGTCAACAAAAAAACAAAAACACAAATACGCATGGGCTATTTGTTTTTGTTTTGGCTTTGTGTTACGCTTGATGGATATCGTTTGAGTATAGAGGTTACTAGAATTCCTAATAAAAATGTGCAATACTTTTTACTCAACAAAAAAGAACAATTACGTAAATAAGCGACTTAACGTGAGTGTCTGATCTAGATTGAGCAGTCAGGAAGTTGAGAAACAGTAATCTAGCGCGTACGAAATATTAATGCGTTAGAAAATTCAGATTGAGCTACCTCATAGCTCACAGTTAGCGGCAAATGGATTAATTGTTCAACAGCGAGGTGTCTTTAAAGAATGTCGATCAAATGGATTCCGCAACCGACATGATTGATCGATTGGAATGTTTCGATATATTCTTCCTGATAAGCGTGGTTTATTATTGCTTCCTGCGATATAATTAACGACGATATTAGTTGTAACAAGTCGGTTAATTTGTAATGTAATGAAGGTGAAAGTCCTGCAAGAGGAGAAGATGACATTGCTGGGCGAGGTCGCTCGGCTGACGGAGTCGCGGGCTGCCGGCGCCGGCGCCGACGCGCACGACCTCGACGACGCGGGCGCGTCGCTGGGGCCCGCGCACGCCGGCACGCTGCGGTACAGCAACATGCGCGCGCAACTAGATGCGCTCAAAGACGAGCTCGATAAGGTCGAGCTACAGAGGGATGATCAACGCGCGCGCGCAGACGCACTCGAGAGAGAAGTCGCTCTACTGAAGCTTAGGAACGAGGAGCTACAGGTGAGACCACAAGATTTCGTACTAACCCCATTATCTAGGATGTTTAGCCTATACACCGTGACCTAGCTACTAGATGCCTTGTAAGCTGAATAAGCTGATCTGACAAAGGTGTAGAGTAAGTAATTTCGATAAGATCCTAGGCTGTGAGGCTGGAGTGACATTCAGGAAGAGACGACGCTAGCGTGAATGTCACCTGGAGGCGCGTCACATAAACAGCTGATCAAAGTAGCCGCGGGCGCGTCGCTGGGGCCCGCGCACGCCGGCACGCTGCGGTACAGCAACATGCGCGCGCAACTAGATGCGCTAAAAGACGAGCTCGATAAAGTCGAGCTACAGAGGGATGATCAACGCGCGCGCGCAGACGCACTCGAGAGAGAAGTGGCTCTACTGAAGCTTAGGAACGAGGAGCTACAGGTGAGACCACAAGATTTCGTACTAACCCCTTTATCTAGGATGTTTAGCCTATACATCGTGACCTAGCTACTAGATGCCTTGCAAGAGGATCTAACAAAGGTGTAGAGTAAGTAATTTCGATAAGATCCTAGGTTGTGAGGCTGGAGCGACATCCAAGAAGAGACGACACTAGTGTGTATGTTACCTGGAGGCGCGTCACATAAACAACTAGATGCGCTGAAGGACGAGCTCGATAAAGTCGAGTTACAAAGGGATGACCAGCGCGCGCGCGCTGACGCACTCGAGAGAGAAGTTGCTCTACTGAAGCTTAGGAACGAGGAGCTACAGGTGAGATAAATCGTTTTTGTTAGTAAGTCTTTTATAGGATGTTTGGCCTGTAAATCGTGACCTAGCAACTAGATGCTTTGCAAGAGGACCGGACAAAGGTAAGTAATTTCGATAGATCCTAAGTTGTCCTCCAACCTCACAAGGTTGGACTGTTGGAGTGACATCCAGGAAGAGACGACACTAGCGTGAACGTTACCCGATAGTGGCACGTCACATAAACAGTACAAAAACCCTATTTGATGTTAATATTAATACTCAGCCATCTAATATTCAACTACAACGTTATGACAAAGTATATTGCCTAGTTAGAAGATAGTAAATAAACCATCCACCAACACAACCACCACCTTCTCATGGTCGATCCTTTATCGTTGTGCCTACTTATTTTCCTCATCTTCCACACAGATAGCAGCATCGGAGAACGTGACGCTAAAGGACGAGGTGGACGCCCTGCGGGAGACGGCGGCGAAGGCGGCCGCGCTCGAAGCCACCGTCGCCTCCTACAAGAAGCGGATGGAGGAGCACGTGGATCTGCGGAGACAGGTGCGTTGAGGATACATTTGGATTGGTTTAATTTTGTACGAGTGGATGAATAAAAAAAAATTTTGCTATATTCTATAATGCTTCAACTACACCAAAGCGTGCAGATCGCCATCGCCGGCGCAATCACGACGAGATCATAGGCCAATGAGAGGTCGCGCGGACTGTCATGGGTCGCATGACCTGTCATTGGCCTTGAATTATTAGGCAACCATTTGATATGTAATGCCGGGATCCCGAGACTATCTTGGGATTTAGTACGTTAAATCTCCTGTAGGGTTCGAAGTTAGGCTCAACTTAGACCTACGGGGAACAGCAACTATACACATTATAACTCCAAATAAAACCATAACCGTGCGCGAAATTTTGGGCATCAAAAGGTTTAGAATAAGAAACATAGTAAATACTTTCTATATTTGGGTTTACCTATCGCAGGCGTATCATATTAGTGAGAAGACAAGTGGTCGACTAATATGGGCGTATCCAAGTTAAGCCACGCCTTTTGAGTATTTGGTTATATCTGTCGCAATCGCTTACACTATCTACGAGTGAGACGGAAGACAGTGGTATAGTAACACTATGCGTGTGCAGGTGAAACTCCTGGAGCGCGCGAACACGGAGCACGTGCAGCGCGCCATCGAGCACGAGCAGGCGGCCGCGCGACACAACGCCGTGCGCGCGCAGCTAGATATCTACAAGAAGCAGGTGGGTGTCAACGAACTTGCTGTATTATACGATTGTTATTCATCTTCCTCTGTGCCAACTCGTCGCTTGCCTCTCTAACTGACGTAACTGACATAACTGACATTTAGCAAAATTTTCAGTGGGTCTAGACAAAGAGCAAAATAAAATCGCAAACCAGTCGAAAAGTGGTCGAAAAGTCCCTTTTTTGTATGGAGTTTTGACGGATTCGATTTTCGATTCGATCAAAAAGTGCGTTTTGTCTAAGGGGGCAGGTGATTAGACAGATCGATTCGTCTTGCAAAATTGATTAAGATGGTGTAGATAACTCAGTTTCGAAAAAAAAAAGTCAGATAGGTACGTCAGTTAGAGAGGCAAGCGACGAACTGAGGTACAAACATGTACCAAATAAACACATTAAGGAAAATGGAGTGTCACTACTACGAAGTTTACTGTACTGAAGTTTTTTTGCCAGAAAACCTTCCTGTCCTGGTGTCAGATTTAAAGAACTCTTTACCGAGTTTGGATTAATTATTTTTCAGACATTCAGATTGAGTGGAAACAAATAATATACAGTGTGATTTTACCCTATGCGTTGTCCCATCTGAGATCCTATAACGTGTTTGAATCCCATCGTGATTTGTAAAAAATCTGTAATGTATAAAAGATCAAGGGTCTAATAATAGTTTGTCTCTCCTTAGGTGACAGATCTAAACGAAAAGTTGGACGCAGAGATAACGAAGGCTGACAAATTAGAGATAGAGAACAAGAAACTGAGCAGCCGCGTAGCGTCGTTTCAGCGCGAGCGGGACACCATACTACAAGAGCGGGACACGCTGAGGGAGACCGTCGACGAGCTGCGCTGCTCTACTATCACCACAGGTACACTCTAACGACATAGAGATAAAGGACAGTTGAGCTGCCGCGTGGCGTCGTCCCAGCGCGAGCGGGACACCATACTGCAAGAGCGGGACACGCTGAGGGAGACAGTCGACGGGCTGCGCTGCTCTACTATCACCACAGGTACACTTCTGACGACATAGAGATAGAGAATTGAGACAAGAAGTTGAGCAGCCGAGTAGCGTCGTTCCAGCGCGAGCGGGACACCATACTTCAAGAGCGGGACACGCTGAGCGAGACAATGGACGAGCTGCGCTGCTCTACTATCACCACAGGTACACTCTAACGACATAGAGATAGAGAACATTCTTGTTCTGAAGCTGAGCAGCCGCGAGGCGTCGTCCCAGCGCGAGCGGGACACCATACTGCAAGAGCGGGACACGCTGAGGGAGACAGTCGACGAGCTGCGCTGCTTTATTATCACCACAGGTACACTTCTAACGACATAGAGCTGAGCAGCCGCGTGGCGTCCCAGCGCGAGCGGGACACCATACTACAATAGCGGGACACGCTGAGGGAGACCGTCGACGAGCTGCGCTGCTCTACTATCACCACAGGTACACTCTAACGACATAGAGATAGAGAACATTCCTGTTCTGAAGCTGAGCAGCCGCGTAGAGTCGTTCCAGCGCGAGCGGGACACCATACTGCAAGAGCGGGACACGCTGAGGGAGACAGTCGACGAGCTGCGCTGCTCTACTATCACCACAGGTACACTTCTAACGACATAGAGATAGAGAACATTCCTGTTCTGAAGCTGAGCAGCCGCGTAGCGTCGTTCCAGCGCGAGCGGGACATCATACTTCAGGAGCGGGACACGCTGAGGGAGACGGTCCACGAGCTGCGCTGCTCTACTATCACCACAGGTACACTCTGACGACATAGAGATAGATAACATTCTTGTTCTGAAGCTGAGCAGCCGCTAGGCGTCGTCCCAGCGCGAGCGGGACACCATACTGCAAGAGCGGGACACGCTGAGGGAGACAGCTCTATTATTACCAAATGTATATTTCTAACGAGTTTTTTTTATCCACAACGAGGAAGCTCTTGGCCTGTATCTCACCTGATGGAAAGTGAAGATCAGGCTGAAGGTGGAAGCGAGCTTCACATGGAATCTTCAACCACAGAAGAACTGGCTATTTTGCCTCCAACTGCCGGAACAGACCACTACTGTAAGATGATGGTAGCTAGCCAGGTGGACTTAAAATAAACCCTACCACCAACCAAGATAGAGAACGAGTTTTTTTCTTATAATATTTTATGATAAAGACAAATAGAATCACTAACTTTTTACAATGCAAATAAATATTTTACATCGTTTACAAATCTCTTTCAGGTGCAAGCGAAGACAACGTATCGCGCGAGTTGATACCCAACGACGTGAAGGAACAGCTGATTCGACTAGAACACGAAAATAAGCTTCTGCGACAGAACCAAGGCGCGCAGGCAGACCAAGCTTCAGTGCAGGTGAGTTTAGTAGTAACGGCTGTCTTTGACCTACTGGGGGCTCTGGGAATGTAAGGCCCAGTTTCCATCAAGGCGGAGCAGAGCGGAGCGGAGAAGACGTGTCAAAAAGGGGAAAAGGATTCCTATAAAAAAAAAGGGAAATTAGAGGCCCCCTATATTGCGGCTCCCTGGGCACATGCCCAGAGCGCCCAGTGGGAAATATCGTCCTGTTAGTAGTGGTTGTGTAGTCCAATGTTGCCCAGAGCGCCCAGTAGGAAATATCGTCCTGTTAGTAGTGGTTGTGTAGTCCAAGTGCCAAGAGGTCCCGGGTTCGATTCCCGGCCGGGCAGAAATTGAAATGATGAATTTTAATTTCTGTGACGGGTCTGGGTGTTACTATGTATAATATGTATGTATTTAAAAAAAAAAAAGTATATAAGTAGTATATCCGTTAAGCTAGCACTCATAACACAAGCATTAAGTTGCTTTCTTTGGGGCTAGCTGGCGATGTGTGAAATTGTCTAAAAAAAAAAAAAAAAAAAAAAATGTTTCCCGTAGTATAGTGATGCATCCACACCGCAGTTACTTTACGTGGACCAACATTATGCAACACGTACACATTAGGTAACCTGTCTATAATTTTTGTGGCTTCTTTGTTACTATCACTTCAGTTTTGCTCGTCGCGAACGTTTTAACTAACATAGACAACTTTTTGATACGTTACTCCACAAAAACTTACTGCGGTATGATTAATGGGGCATGATCATATCTTCTCCTTCTATTGAGGTAGCCAGAACAACCGCGGCCACAATCCAATAGGTACCATAGAGACATAACAGGACTTGGTAATTTATTTCAAAGTATAAAGTAACTTTGCTGATTTCTGTCCTATTTTTTTGTGTAATTATTTGTCTGTGTATCAAAATTGTTTGTTTCCCTAGTATAAATAAATAAATAAGTATTTTAAGATGCAATTTGTGACTTTTTTCTGTAAATGCTACTGCCACATAAATCTTTAATTGGTATAATTTCGATAATAAAATATGTTTCACACCTTATCGCACAATTCGATTTAAACGTTAATAAGCGAAATTATCGTGCTATAACTCAAATATTTGAACAACCAGTCGCAATCGTTTTCTAATCTTTTGACAGTTGGAAAGCAGTTTATATTTCATGTTGATTTTATTCAAATGTCTTTGACTGAATAACTTTTGAGTGTAATAAATCTAGCATGTCTTTATGTGAATCATAACGTATTAATTATTGTTTACCTTAATATTAATGTGTTTTAATTGTAGATTTATTAACATGTAAGTGTCCGTAAACGAGCATGAGTAAATGTAACAAAAGGCAAATGAAAAAAAAAATAGTGCAACATCATTTCAAGTTCTCTCAGGAAGTCCGCTTAAGAGGATCGGGAGGATATTATCGTCTAATAAACATTAAATATCATTAGTTTCACCATGATCTGAACAAACTATGTTTTCGTTCATAATTTTATTTGATACTGGGCATTGGCTATTATATTGTGCAAAGCTCACAAAGCACAATTTTTTTAATAAAGAACTGTTACCTCTTGTGTTATCACAATATTTCATCGGTGGCGGGGCTCAAAGAAGCCACGATAGCCGAACGGTGAAGGGGTCGGACTGGCCGACTCGTGATCCGGAAAACGCGATCGTGACCCAAGCATATTTAGCTTAGTACGAGGGGCTAACGGGAGTATTAGTAATTTGTGAAATAATATACAATCTACAATCTATAAAATATACAATCTGGGCCTCTTCAAGGCGAGAGTGAATAAGCACTTACAGGGCAGATATGTACCATCCTAGACTGCATCCCACTTAACATCAGGTGCGATTGTGGTCAAATAACTGCCTTGTTATGCATAAAAAAAAACATGCGTTCTTTATATCTCTATTTAGCCAATCCGATTTCGATACTATGAGTATTTTATCGCTTCATAAATAAATAAATCACGTGCTCGTTTTCGTCAGGCGCTACTGGAAGACTATGCGGCGCGATTAGAGAAGCAGCGCGCCGTGAACCGCGAGGCCAACCAGCGCATCATGCAGCTGGAGGCCACGCTCGAGGCGCCGCACCCGCGGCTCGCCTCCGCCATCGAGGACAGCCAGAGGAAATGTTAGTATCCATTCAATCACCCGTATTGACAACTGATGCTTGCTTAAGTGACGTAGCAAATCGAAAGCACAGCGTTGAATAGAGCTTTGTGATTGGTTCGTGAGTCACCCTGTACATCCACGCGCACCGTGTTACCTTATAGTAATGTTTGTGTAATGCTTTCTATGGGCCACAGTTCCGGCTACCCATTTGCGGTCATGTCGCCTCTCTATCGCAAAGAATGACCATTTGGTGAGAGCGAGAGAAAGGAAATGGGTAGCTGGAACTATGGCCCAGTGTACTATAATCCACTATGTGTTTACAAAACATCTATGTGTTGCCGTGTAGCAGCTTATGATGTGAGTGACGGTGGACTGACGATTTGGTGAAGGTCACGAAAAGCACTTGTATGCGGGCAGCGTAAGACCAGGCGTTGTGGAAACCCGTAAAGCCTCTCGCTTTTATTCAGGAGTTGACGGCAATAGGAAACGAACAAAAAATAACTGCAGAATTACGGCAGAGCAGAATATGATAACTTCTATTCTTCACGTGTAAGTCTTAAGAGGTTACTAACTATTGGGCAAATATTCAAACACCGAGCCTCTCCAACCCGTTTAGCATGTGTAGGGGAGTATCCTCGATTTGCCACTGGTGCATTAGATAGGGTCATTCTAATTGAGGTTATTGGATAGACTGATAATGATGATGTTCAATTTCCCAGCATTACAAGTGGAGGAGCTCCAAGCAGCGTTATCAGAAGAGCGACGGCGGAGCAGCAAGTTACAGGAGGCGTTAGCGGCGCGAGAAGCCGAGCTACTGGCCACCGAAGACAAGTACAAGAAGTGCGTCGAGAAGGCCAAGGAGGTCATCAAGTCGCTGGACCCCCGCGCGACCGGTGAGTTATGACAGTGAGGTGCAACACCTACTCAGTTACTTTCTCCCATTCGCAGTCGTGCATCGCCCATACTTAGGTGTGCGGACTGGCGCGATGGATTGCGGTTAGACTCGGACAATCTTCCGTANATGATATATATCAACTTTTAAAATTTGTTACTGTATTTGTACTTTTTGACATAAGATTTTTATTTTTTTAGTTGATTTTGCCGTATTTAACAGAATATTTTATGTTTTTGCTTTATTTGTCAGATTTTAAGTTTAAAAACATTAAAAACATGTTTATGTAACACATATGCAATAGTATTCATGAATAATACAATAAAATAATACTATGGCTTTCATACAAAATTGATATATATCAAAGTTGATATATATCGGATATATATCATAAATATCCGATATTTTGATATTTATAATAAATATCGGATATTTTCGAACCCTGCTAATGTTAGTAGTAGCATTTGACATTATTTAAATATTTTATTTGCTCCTGGTTTATTAGAGCGGTGATCCAGCTTAACAAAATTAACTTTATCTCATAAACTAAATCTAAATATATACGAGGGCGGCACTGAAAATTTCGGGAATCAAGGAAGTGAAACAACATTACTATTTAAAAATGTATTTATTGGTTNAGCTGCATATTCATAAAATATAAGAAAAAAATATTTTCATGTTTATTTAACCTGATTTTTATATTTTAAAAGTATTCAAACATTTAGATAATAACGTTAAAACATTTAAAAATAATCGTATGAGAACGTTTTCGACTTCTCCACGGACGAAGTCGCGGGCAAAAGCTATTTGTAAAATAATTAGACTAAATTATTAAAAGTGCCTACCCAAAGTCATTATTCCACGCGGACGAAGTCGCGGGCACAGCTAGTAGATACATAGAACTAATGGGGCAGCATGGTTCTAGACTGATAGACACATACAAACAAGCGCAACGTATGAGGACAGATAAGCTTTTATAGGTACTTGCAGGAAGCTACTATTTGGACCTACTGGTTGAATTATGATGATTATTATGACGTATGTTAGCAAGTAATCCCAATCCTTAGAATGCATAAGAAATGGAAAAGTTTTTCATTATGCAAAAATATGTCGCATTTTCTTGTGATATTTGGTAATTACTTAGGCTGCGTTGCATGCACCATCTTATTTTAATATAAAAAAAACCGGCCAAGTGTGAGTCGGGCTCGCACACCGAGGGTTCCGCCGTACAAACGTAGCGGTTTACAATTTATGATGTATTAAATCAAATTACTTACTTGATTCCGTTGCGAGTAGTGGCGAATTTCAAAATATGCGGTATGATTATTTTTTATTTATTTATTTTTCCTATATTTGCATTATAGGTAGGTACCTCAGCGTTTTGAATTTTTGCGTTGATTTAGAATTTATCACAGTTTAGAGGCAATTAGATTTAAGAAGACTTTAATATCTCTACGCGTTCATGTGAAAAAGGGTAGGTAGTAAGTTTATAATTATTAAAAAAATATTTTATGTCATGTAAGCAAAAATAATATTTTAAATTTTATATAACTTCAAATTTATCATTTTCGCAATTTTTCCTATATCTGTGTGCTTACCATGAGTTTACGTTAGGTGAGCTCGCTAGCGAATACGTCAAAAAATTCTATGAACGTTTTATTTCTTGAAAGTAGCCACTAGGGGCGCTGCACAATATGTCATACATTTAAATGTCATTTTTTTACGCAGTCGCTAGCGAGCACACCTAACGTAAACTCATGGTAGGCACACTTAACTATATAACGTTGCTTCGTGTCGAATTTCAAGATTCTGAGTTCACAGGAAGTACCTTGTAGGTTTTGATTCCCTAGCGTGTGACGGAAATTCGTCTAAGGTGTCGGTATAAACTGCTGTATCTTTTGATCGCGTTAACTTAGAAGTTTAATTTTTTTATTTCTTAAAGGGACAATAGATCTAGGTATTTGGTATAAATTTCAATTTGATACCTTTATTCGTTCGTGAGAAATAAGGTAGTAAGTTTCATTTTATTAAAATATTTTTATTATATATAACTAAAAAAATGTAATTTTCGCAATTTTTCCTATATTTGCATTATATGACAATGCTTTATGCCAAATTTCAAGATTCTGAGTTTACGGAAGGTATCCTGTAGGTTTTGATTCCTTTGCGAGTGTCGAAAATTTGTTGAAAATATCGACATAATCGGCTGTATCTTTTGATTGGCTTGGCTTAGAAGTTTGATATTTTCACAGCTTAAAGGGACAATANGTATTCGATGCTTAAAACCAAGGAGTTTGCAATTAAAAATATTTTAATATGATAGGAACAGTGGAAATATTCCATTCCCGATACTTTTAGTGCAGCCCTCGTAAAAGGAGAAACTGACTGTTATTTGACTATTAACGCACAGCCTAAACGGCTAAACGTAGGCACTTGAAATTTGGAAGGGACGTAGCTTAGGTACCGTAGAAGTGCACTAAGAAAGGAATTCCCGAAATTTCCACGGGAACGGGAATTAGCGGGAAAATCCTTTTGTATGAAAAATCTAAACCGCTTAAGTTAGACGCTTGAAATTTGGCATGCATGTACCTTAGTAAACTTAAAGCTTAGTTACAACAGGATATTGCAAAATTCCTACGGGAACGGGAGTTAGCGGGAAAAAACATTTGTATGAAAAAATCTAAACCACGTAAGATAGATGAAGACGGGTAAAACGGGATCCACGCGTACGAAGTCGCGGGCGGCCGCTAGTAATATACAAAATTGTAGAACATACATGGGGGTGATTTAGATACACCTTGATGTAAGGAATAAAATTCTAGCTTTGAACGTCAACTCTCTGGCCATCCTGTAGATTTCTTATACAGAGTGTCTCAAAAAGTAGTGTCAAGCCGAAGCCCAGAGATTTAGTTCCAACAGGACACATTCTCAATCAGACACATTCCCACGTGGACACAGTTGCAAACTGACACAATACAGTCAGTCGAATAAATGAAAGTGAAATGAAAAATATGAACATTAAAATAACTATATTTTATTACAATTAAAAACAAAATTAAACAGAAATAAGTATCTTCGCGTACTTTCCTTAACCAGAGGTAGAGCATCACTAGGGCTACCCAAATCACCGATAGTTTTCGAGTTATGTTCTTCTATTGCACACCAAAGAACAGAACAGAAAGAAAAGGAACACACAAGGTACAACTAATAATTCATCTAATAATAATAAAAAAATAAGGCATGTAACTTGACTAATCGCGCCACAGTGACCAAAAAAGTGCCTAAGCTAAATTTAAAACAATCATAACTCGAAAACTATCAAAAATGATGCTCTACCTCTGGGCTTCGGCTTGACACTAGTTTTTGGGACACCCTGTATTTAAATTATAATTTCAGTTTCTCAGACCTTGCAGTGTCTTCGTCATCGCTAAGCGGCGCCTCCGGTTCTTGGGGCCCCGGCGGCGCGTGGGGCCCCAGCGGGGGCGGTTCATCCTCTGACTCCATGGAACACGCGCTGACGCTGTCCAGGCTGCAGCGGTCGTCTTCCACTGGCTGTGGGGAAAGGGTGAAGAAATGGTTACTTCAGGTACGAATTGAATAGATGGTCTATAATATGGTCGAGTGAAGCGATGGCTGGTTCACACGTCAAGTCTGTGAACAGGCGCTGCCTTCGGGGACTGGTCATGGAAAGATATACCTACCATAAAATAATGTATCAAAACGTAACAATTAACCTAGACATTGGCAGGCACTAAAGAAATATTTAAAACTGCCACCCGGTCTTGTGAAAAACGATTGCTTCAGGTGGGATTTCAAAGGATTTACCACATTGGATGCGTTCCGCGGTCAGGTGATCAGGTCAAATTGAAAGCAGCCCGCATCATGTACGAACAAGATGGTCAGTCAGGGCAATTGGTCAGTGGTCCGGACAAAACACTTTAACTTTGACCTAACTAGACCGCAGAACGCATGCAATGTGACAAATCCTTAACTGTCGAAAACTACAGACTCATAAAGGTAAATAGTTTTGTCTAGTCGGCTTGTGATCGGAATAGCTATTCAAATCTAGCCTTTTCAAGGCGAGAGTGAATAGGCACTTACAGGGCAGATATGTACCATCCTTGACTGCATCACACTTAACACCAGGTGCGATTGCTGTCAAATATCTGCCTTGTATAGCATAAAAAAGTGGTTCATGAATGACGCACCCAAAAAACCATTATACAGCCGAACGAAAGGAGAACCTCCTTTTTTGAAGTCGGTTAATATACAAATAATCAATCTTTTTCCACAGGCATTCGCGCCACAACGCGTACACGTGATCCGCCATGTTTTTGCGACGTTGTTAGTAAACACCGTGCGAACTGTGCTTACACAATACTGCTGGGTGCGGTGCGGTATAGTGCCTAGTTCTTCGGTGAGTTGTGTAATTTTAGATTTGATGTTGAATTATAGATTGTCTGTCGTTTGGAACTATCCTTTTGCCCGCGGCATCGCCCGTTTGGATTTTTCCCCTGTCTCAAATCAGATGATTTGAATCAAATACAAATCAAATATTAGTTAACAAATGTAAAGATGAGCCGACACTTGATTTTGAACAAAAATGTATGGATCGTCGATGACTTTTAGATCTCAAATACTCGACGCACAGTGGTGCTACAGCTTTGGTGCCATAGTAACAAATGCTAAGGCAGACGTATTCTGTCAATATACAGCACTTTTATTTGTTGGCCGGCACTTTTGATTTTGGACCAAAAATGTATGAAACGTGGATGATGTCCTTTCTAGTATTTTTTAAAAGGAAACAAAAAGAAAAATTACAAAATTTGTCAATTTCAGTAAACTTACACGAAGTCCAGGCTAGGATGCGCGCCGTGATAAAATTTTATCGATCAAACGACAAATGTATGGGCTTATCGCGTACCTAAAATTGATTAGTTACACTTACAATTTGCACGCGTCTTCGTAGCGCGCTGTGTGGGCTCCGCGCCGCCGTGTGTCGGAGCGCTACGCAGCCGGTGTAGGGATCCAACAGCGCTTGGTATGCCGAGCGGTCTTCTTGGGTTGAAGTGGACACCGGTTCTGGGGAGTCCTGGGACTATCTACCAGTTTGGAATATCATGGACTGCATTCTAGCCAGGTCTGCCTGCGCTGGTCCGAAGACTGACCACCTGTACCTGGTACCATTCATCAACGCTACGACTTGGGCGTTGCATTGTGACGTCGCACTGCTCGTGTGCCACTAAATGCGTTGAGATCTTTAAATCTCAGCTATATTATTCGCTACGATGCTTTGACCGAGTACCGAAGTTGCACGAGTAGTGTAGACACGCATATTCAAACATTGAAACGCTTTGTGCCCTTTGATTCGGGCGCAGCACCGAAAACATTCGGTAGTAGGACGAGAGGGGACGAGGTTGCTACTTCGATTAACTTCGCGAGTAGTGTAACTGAGGTGTTAAGTTTAACGCCAATCGCGCGCTAGATATAGATAAACTTCAAGAAGTCTTGCTCATTTCTCGACCTGGAACCTGGTTAGCTGAAGAAGATTCCCGCCAGAGGTATTGCGCTGCAACGACGCAACTGTCAAAACCCGTGTGCTATCTGTCAAGGTTTTGTTTAAATTACTTTCTTCTTCGTTTCTTCGCCGCATCTCGCTAAGTCTGCGCTATAGGACTACCTAGACACGGTAATACTAGTGACCTAGACTAGAAAAGTCTGCTGTCAAGCGGAGCCGTCAAGCGACGCGCGACGCCGCTAGAAATAGTCTTGGTCTCTTCGCAACATATCACCAATTCTGCAGTCTAAAACTACCTAGAATACAGGAGGTCTAGTAAGTCTAAGGCACTTACAATCTGCACTCGTCTCCTGTCTAGAACTACCTAGACTACAGGAGGTCTAGTAACCTAAAGCACTTACAATCTGCACGCGTCTTCGTAGCGCGCTGTGTGGGCTCCGCGCCGCCGTGTGTCGGCTACAGCTTTGGTGCCATAGTAACAAATGCTAAGGCAGACGTATTCTGTCAATATACAGCACTTTTTTTTGTTAGCCGGCACTTTTGATTTTGGACCAAAAATGTATGAAACGTGGATGACCTTTCTAGTATTTTTTAAAAGGAAACAAAAAGAAAAATAACAAAATTTGACAATTTCAGTAAACTTACACGAAGTCCAGGCTAGGGTGCGCGCCGTGATAAAATTTTATCGATCAGACGACAAATGTATGGGCTTATCGCGTACCTAAAATTGATTAGTTACACTTACAATCTGCACGCGTCTCCGTAGCGCGCTGTGTGGGCTCCGCGCCGCCGTGTGTCGGAGCGCGACGCCGCCGGTGTAGGGATCCAACAGCGCTTGGTATGCCGAGCGGTCTTCTTGCGTTGAGGACACTGGTTCTGGGAGTCCTGGGATTATCTACCAGCTCGGAATATCATGGACATATTTGTACTTCAAGAGCTCTCAAGTATTGTCTAAAATTGTGAAGAGTGTTTACTTCGGAACGATATTTTAGTAGCTTCGTGGTGTATCTGTCACTGTCGCTCATGCTGGTGTCTATTTTTGCGTGAGAGGGATGACAACACTCGAAACTTAAGTGGTTACTTCGAAATGTTATTTACTTACGTAGCTTCGGGGTATATCTGTCACAGTCTCTCCCGCCGGCATCTATCTTTGCGTGAGAGGGATGGCAACTTTCGAAACTTCGGACGTTTTTCGTAGTAACTCTGCTAGATCTGGGGAATTCTAGGGCTACTTACCTTGCTTGGAATATCACGGACTGTATATCAGACAATGTGTCTATACTCCAAGAGTTATTTACGTGCGAAGGGAGGTTCTAGTCACCCGAAGTTGCCCGAGTAGTGTAGACACGTCATATTCAAACATTGAAACGCTTTGTGCCATTTGATTCTGGCGCAGCACCGAAAACATTCGATAGTAGGAGGAGACGGGACGAGGTTGCTACTTCGATTAACTTCGCGAGTAGTGTAACTGAGGTATTGCGCTGCAACGACGCAACTGTCAACTCCTGTGTGACATCTGTCAAGGTTTAGTTTAAACTACTTTCACCTTGCGGGCAGCGCAGGACTGTTCATTGTGGAAAACCTTGGGGGAGGCCTTTGTCCAGCAGTGGACGTCATTTGGCTGAAACGAACGAACTTTCATCTTGGTTTCTTCGCCGCATCTCGCCAAGTCTGCGCTCTAAGACTATCTTGACTACCTAGACTACAAAAGTCTGTCATTTTCACTTACAATCTGCACGCGTCTTCGTAGCGCGCTGTGTGGGCTCCGCGCCGCCGTGTGTCGGAGCGCGACGCAGCCGGTGTAGGGATCCAACAGCGCTTGGTATGCCGACCGATCCTCTTGGGTCGAAGTGGACACTGGTTCTGGGGAGTCCTAAATAGGAAAACGGTTATTCATTTAGTTCCATGAAGGTTTTGTAATGAATCGGGCAATGAAAAAATTTTTTGGTCCTTCGAGCCGGATCTGTCGTTTCACTGATTACTGTTCTCAGCCCAGTACAATATAATTGTTGTTCCCTTAGTTATTTTTTAATAATAAATATCTTTGGACAATTTCACACAGCGCCAGCTAGCCCCAAAGTAAGCAACTAATATGCTTGTGTTATGGGTGCTAGCTTAACGGATATACTACTGAATACTACATATACATATAACTTTTTTTAAATACATACATATTATACATAGTCACACCCAGACCCGTCACAGAAATTAAAATTCAGCATTTCAATTTTTGCCCGGCCGGGTGTCGAACCCGGGACCTCTCGGCATAGTAGTCGGTTTCGAACCACAACACCAAACGGCCGGCAACCTAAAAAGGGACTAATGCGACCTTTTATTTATTTTACAACTTCTGTATAGCCGACAGTACATCAATCTAAACACTAGCATCTTGTGCAGTGGTATTGTATCTACTCTTTCTTTGTCCACCATATTGTGCTGAATAAAGACTTTCTTATTCTTAATAGAATAGGTGCTATTTTGCAACAAATCTAGTACCCATAGTACAAGCTTTGCTTAGTTTGGTTAGTCCTAGCTTCTAGAAGCGCAGTGTAAAATGTCCAAGGATATTTATTTATTTATTTATAAAAAATATGCACAACTTACGTTGTGTAATCCGATGGTGCTTGACATTTCAATGGGCAGCTCAAAGTTGGGCATCCTGCGCAGCTGAGATGGGGACTCGCACCAATCTGCCACCTGGTGGCAAATAACAACATTAAAATATATAAATTGATTTAAAAATAAATAATTTCAGGCAGTGTGTTCACGCCGTGACAGAGACAGCAGACCACTCTATCTCGCTCGCAAACTGATGCTTGCACATTGCTTAAAGTCAAGTAACGGTCTGACAGTTGTTTTGCGTTTGCGCAAGATAGCCAAGATAGGATGGATATTATATTCTAAAGGGAAAAATATGATTCTTTGTAAAATAAATCAAAATCAAATTTATCTTTATATACTCGTAGGCTCCGAAACTACTGGACCTTTTTAAAAATGCATTCACCATTAGAATCCTACATTATTTCTGATGAACATACGCGGTACGCAGTTCGCCGGTTTAGCTAACAAACCAAATAATTCTATATAACAAGAAAAGACCTGTTCGCGCAGTGCGCTTACAACCTTTTTTCACCCCTCGTATTTTAGACTGCCATCAGATGCAAAAAACTCGTCATCGTCGTTTCAGCCTAGTGACATCCACTGCTGGACAAAGGCCTCCCCCAAGCGAAAAAAATTTACGATTAAATTACATTTAAACTCACCCCAGAATGAAACTCGTCCGATTCAGGAATGTCTATCCCAAAGCTAGCTTTGGGTGTGCTCTGGCTCACCAGCTTATTTCTATCCAGGAACTTCGATATGGCACTATCGTCTCTCCCGTCTACGATTCTCTCATTCCTCGGAGGGGTTTCTTCTTTGTCGCTCAATCTTGGCATTATCTTCTTTCTCTCCACCTTCTTTTCTGTAACCCTTGTCACATCGGGCTGGTCTATCCTACTATCGCCTAAAACCTGGCTGTCAGCTGTGACGAAGTTCTCAGAAAAGTATAAATTGTTCTTCGAATTATTCCGCACTGGACTGAACATGTAACCGTTACTTTCGTTGTGTCTGTCGTCTTCTATGCTGGAAAGACTTAGGTCTTTTTCTTCGTCCAGTTTGTGCTTCTTCGGTATAACATCGGGATTGTCGTCGGGACTTCCCAATGTCATTAAGGGATGGTTAGTTGTTAAGGTCAGTGTAGAACTGAACCTTGGTGGACTGATGACAAGATTTTGCGGCCTGTTTTCCAATTTGGGAGAATTTATATTTAGTGTGGACATTTTTGAAATTAGACTATCATTGAGATCCTGCTTGAATTTGGACAGTGGAGTCTTGAGATTGTGGTTGGTCTCAGGTTCCGTGAATCTCAGGACTTCAGATTCTGGGTTCTGGAGTCGGAGCACGCTCTCGTGGTCTCGGTCCTCGTCCGAGAGGGAGTTGGAGGTGTCTTGAGATTTGAAGGACTCAGATCCGGTGTCCATTTTCTCGTCTGATGACGGAGGCGTGAGCATGTCATCTTCGTTCGGCCGGTGGGTTTTGAAACTACTGAAACAAGGAATAAGGTCTAAGATCCTTTGCAGATGTTTTATTATTATATTATTATTATTATGTCTCTGAGATCATAGCGAGTCAGCAGTGAATTATTAAAGTGCGTACGGATTGCTCGTACCCTGGTACGCGTACTCAGTTTACGCGTATCCGGAACGCCTTAGTACATGTATGTATGGATCAGTCCATGTATGTATGGACTAGGCGTTCCGCGATTTAACAATCACTCTAAAACTGCCGACAAATACCGGGCAAATAGCTAGTGTGAATATGTTCGAAAAGGAGTTTTGCAATAACTGGGCCCCAATTACGCAATTTTTTTTTATCTTCAACGTGGCCGGACGTCAGCTGTTTTGACAAATCCGTATCGCAGAATCGAAGAAGCGCGTCTGTATTGGAGACGTTAAAAATTAGCGTAATCGGGGCACTGTAGGCCTAGGATATGCGCCGCGACCAGCATTTATAGCGCCATTTTATCGATTTTACGCGATAAGCCCATACGTATATCGTCTAAAATCGTCGATAAGATTTTATCACGGCGCGCATCCTAGCCCTGCTGAAAAATGGGAGGATAAGCTTTACATAGATGCAATATCCTCACAATAATTCCATATTAGTAGTATTTATTTACAAAATTGCAAGGTGTGAGCTATTGGAACATAATCTTTACTAGCACTGCCCAAATGGCAAAGAACCATAGAGCGAGTGAAAGTGCAATTAACAAAAACAATGGCCAGTGTTAAGTGCACTTTCTATTATGTACTAATTACTACGTTGTATATGAGTCTAGCTGTGGCGGTATTAATTTAATTTCTAGTTTTCTAGGTCTATATTATCAACATTTTACCACAAAATATTTGAAACCTACAAATTCATAAATTCACACAACATTAAAAAAAGTTTAATCAAAAAGGGGTTATTAAAAAAGAAAATTATGATAAACAGAAGTAAGCAATGCTTGATATGTTTGTATGATAATTTGGCCTAATCGATCAAAGAATTACTTTTTTGTCAGTCTTCACTCCAAGTGTAGGGCTCAAAATGTGTCGTTTCAGCCAAATGAAACGACGAAAAGCCAAATGAAAAACGAAATTAAGAAATTTTTTCTGCAGAATAAACCTGAGTAGGTTCTTCCCAAAGATCTCTCTTAAAAATATTTAAACTCAAAATAAACAATATTTTATTTCAGAACTTAATCTCAGTTCCAGCTAGATCCTATAGATATCCCATTGTTTCAAAATATATGAAGTTTCTAGAGCCAATTCGAAAGTACCTGTTAAAAATGTTTTAAATTCAATTTAAAACAGAATTATTTATTAAACAAATTATCCTTAAGCCATGCAATCAACTAATTTAAACTTTATCACTTTTATACCAAACGTGTTGATGAATCATTAACACATTCGACGTAAATTCTTCAATTGACCCTGACATTTCAATTATTTTGCACCACCATCAGATTTTTATCAGATTTAAAACACTGAATTGAAGGTAGTTCAATACAATATATCACAGTATAGTACACACATAGAAACGATTAATATGAACAGGGACATAAAATACGATTAAATGTTTACACGGAAAACGCCCCATAAACTTAAAAACATAAATAAATCGAAAAAACTAGGTCTGCAATTTTTGACACAGGATTTTTGAAAAACTAGCCCAAATAAAGAGTTGTATGGTTGACTCACCTCATTGATTTATTGGGTAAACGGTTTTAAAGGCAAAATATAGGTCGTAAACATCGATTTTGTATTAAAAATTAAATAAAATGTGAAAAATTCGACCAACACACAGTAGTACAACTGCATTCACAATTTTGACAGCTCTCACTAAAGTTTCGTTTTCTACAAAAATCGGAAGTGTTGGGTTGCGTTTAGTTTCATAATATTAATATTTTTTATTGTAATGATGGAATTCATTATGTGCTTTAAAAATACTTTATTAAAACATCAAGATTTAATAATAACGTGACCCCTTATTTACTTTTATTTCATGTTATCTGAATATGAATATTATTTATTATTAATTAAAAAAGTATATATTATAAGTATAGATTTTTATAAAAGTTCAATTTATTAATTGAATGATTTGGTATCGATATATTTTTTATTTTTAAAAGGAGTGTATCGATTACATACTATTATTGTATGATCTTAAAGATTAAAAACAAGTATTACAACAATAAATAATTATTAATTTGTATATGAAAAACAAAAGAAAAAAGCAGAATTATATAATACTATCTTTCTTTCTTCCTTTAACCCATCTGACTTTATCATTTTATTATATTCATCATATTATTATAGTTGTAAGTCTAACTACCTGTATCTGTCTAATGGTTCGAAGGCAATAAATACATTTTTTATTTATTTATAGGAATTACCTTTTTTCCCAATAACTTGTTGCAACTGCTGGTCAGAGTCAGAACATCCTTTTTTTAAATCTTCTTAATTAGAACTCTTTCGATCTGCGCTTAACAACTTACACAAAGATTTTTCGATTTATGCACTTTCACATACAAAGAATGCAACACGATCTTGGAAACAAACAAAAATGACAATGACCCAATTCTTAGAAATTTCTTTATCGATTACAAAACATCTCTTGACTTTATTGATTGAAGGTTAATTTGTATCATTTGCAGAATGGTGGCGTTTATGGGACGTTGTTATTTTTGAACTCTCATTATAGCTAGCTCATAAAACATGGGTAAGTATTATATCTTTTTAATTAAGTTTTATTTAGATTTTTATCCTTTTCATTTTCTTAATTTTGATATAGCTCGTATGCGTGAAATTAACAAAATAAATAAGTAGGTACTTTAGCATCAAGATAATCTTATTGTTGAATAAACTACATACTTGCAAAGTTTATTGTACTATTATGCAAGACAAACTTCCCTAACGTTATCGAACTTCTAAATTACTCTCACGTAAAATTTTGACTAGTGATTACGGTACCGCGTAGGTATTGTTTGTTTAAAAACGATGCGGAAATTGGCAAGATTCACATAATATTTGATTTCTTTCACTTTGTCCACGGATATTGAATGTCAATGTTTTCCAAATAGCAGACCACCCAAACTGTATTTCTAGGCGGAAAATCCAAGAATTGAATCAGAAAGCGTTTGGGTTTCAAAGAAGAAACTAAGGAATTTAATTTAATTTTTGTTGCAGAGTCAAGTGTTTCAGTGAAAATGCAGTTTGGTGCTTTTATATTTCTAGTTTATCTAGTGATACCATCCATTTCAGCAGAGGATGTTAGCTGTAAGTTTTTCCTAATGTACACAATTTAAATTTTTAATTGTAATGTTAATGAAAAATAGTGATTTATTGTGAGAAAGGAAACCGTATGATTTAATTATTATAATTTTCGTATATTTCAGACCAGGCTTGTGTTGATAAGTATTCAAGAAAAGGCTACCAACCATGGCAAGAATGGTCTGATCACTATACTTGCCATCGATACAGATGTGAAATCAGAGATGGAAAATATTTTATTGCCGCCGTTGGGTAAAGAGCATCTAATTATTGTTAGTAAAGCTAGTGTGTTTGATCATTTCATTGAATTTGTTCTGTCTAACTTACAGATGCCGGAAGCCAAAAATACCTGAAAACGCATTAGAATGTCACGAATATATTGAAGACGAGAATGTTGGTACGTAAACTGCACATTTGTCTAAAACTTAAATGGTCTTATCATTGTAGAGAAATCTTAAAATCGTTTTTTCTTTTTCAGAATTTCCTACATGCTGCGCTCGCCTGAGATGTGTAGTTGAATTAAATGGTGAAAGAATTGTACAAACTCGAGGACAGCCTGGAGAACTGTTCCCTGATAAGTATGTTCCGTTAATTTATTACCTTTTCCTTTTATCACTGCGAATTTTTACTATTGACCATGCCCTATTTATACGATTCTAGACCCTGGAAAGGCCAGCAGAACGAGCCCAACCCAGCTGTAGTTGGCATGGGTGGAATCCAGCAAAACACCGTAGGAGGAGAACCCCAAGGACAGCCAGCTCCTGGTATCTTCAACAGCCGAGGCGCAGGCAAGAGGGAGAAGGTATTATTAGCCCTTGATTAAGCCCATCTTAATCAGAGGCTAATAATATCGTTTTTCACGTTTTGTTTGTACTTGTAAATGATATTTTAAAGTGTAATATAATTATTTGAACTCTCATTCGTATTTTACTAGCGTCACAATTTAGCCTTAAGCCTCTCATGAGTGATTTTCCCTGAGTAATATATTTTTGCATTAGAGACAATTTTGGAACTTCAGTCTTAACGTCAATGTTTTATTAATAGCCAACGATATTCCCGACAGCGGATGGCAACGATATTAATGGGCGACGATATGTAGACCCCTACCCCACGCAGCAGATGCAGGATTCCCCGAGGAAGAAGCGATCCACCGTCTACCCACTTTTCGACAGAGGACTTCCCCGTGATGCTGGATCTTACCAGCCACATCAAGTAAAAATCCACGGTTTCTCACCTGAAAGATACACTTCATATTTCTCAAATAGCGTCAAAGGATTACACAACCCAAAACTTCACTTTAACATGTCATAGAGTGTCCTATTTGGTATAAAATGTAAAAAGCTTTATTTATTATTTGTATAAGTTGACACAAATGCACAAGGTTTGCCAAATCAATGCAATGTTATTTATTTTGTTATTGTTATAAGTCTAGATATGTTTTGTTTATTGATAAGCACGTTTTGTTAGAAATATGTGTCGTAATAATTATGCATGTTATTTGTTGCAAATTCATTAAATGTTTATAAAATAATCCTAGTTTACTTCCTATTTCCAACAACTTTTTCGTATGTATGAAAGAGTATAAGAAATGTACTAATCAAAAATATCATAGTATTATTATTAGGTAATGTTTATTAAAATTAAATCAAAAGATAATAAAGACACAAATATTCAATTTAACTAATCAAATTCAATTGAATACATAATACACTATACATCACTAAAGACGCTGTTAACTGTCAATGTCAATCAGGCAAGTAAGTTGTCAGGAAATGTCAGATGGTATCAGTAAATTATTAATTTCCTTGTTTGTTCTTTCGAGTTTTTATATTAAATTTAATGCAATTAATCTCTCAAAAAGCTATGTCTTCATCTTAATCAATAGTGTTTCGTATCCTTTCGATTCATTACTACAATAACACCGATAATTCTATGGAAACCTGTTTGATATCACCAGATTGCGTTGCCATGTAGACTTTCGTAAATCGCAAGTTATTTTGCCGTATTTGGTGGGATATCGCCTCAATAACCAACCCACAGATATACGGACTGCTTTATTGTAGTACTCGTTTAGTGCAAATCTACTGGGAAGAGAGTAAAAAACATGGTTGAACCAGAGAAGCCTTTTGCCTGTTCCATGCCGGACTGTGGCATGACGTTCACGAATGAAGACCATTTACACGTTCACACGAAGAAACACGATATGATGCTACAGCTAGGATCGGAGCAAAAGGCGGCTTTTGTTGGTAAGTTAACAAAATAACAATCAATACTTTACATACTAATTTTGTTGTAGTTTGAATGTTTTGTAAGTGCTGACAATACATGATTCTATTTAGAATTTCGTTTCGTTTTACAATTTAAAATTCTTCATATTAGAAATGGTTAGTTAATGATGTAAGTACTATCGGCAACAGTGTTAACTGCCCATTGCCAGTCATGTCGTCTCGTTCTATCGCAAAGAATCACCATTTGATTAGAACGAGTGCAAAAACGGAAATTGATAGTTAACAGTGTGGCCGTGTGTACATATTACCCATATTCACAAACATTACTATGAGGTTTCACAGTGCGCGTAGACACACATTGTCCCAAAACCGATTCATATACAATACTTGAGTGGTGGCGTGACACATAAACCAATCGCAGAGCTCTATTAAATTAGTGCTTTTGACTTCGCATAGCGTCGCTGCTTCACTTAAGCAAGCATCGTTTGTGAATACGGGCATTATTCTTAATATTGGAAGTCAGGGGTAGATTTTCTTTGTGAAGTTTTCTAACTATGAAAGTCATAATATAAAAATGAACCGCAAAATGTGTTGGTAAGGGCATAACTCAACAACGCCTGGAGCAATTTTACAAATTCTTTTTTTAATGTTTTTTCAAGTCCAAGGATGGTTTTTACCGTGAGAAAAAATCGTATAATTTCCAGGAAAACACCGAGCGGATAGCTAGATTTAATAAATATAATTCTTCCAGCCGACCAGACTCCAACTCCAACCCGTTTCATCCGTAACTGCGAGGAGGTGGGCCTCTTCCAGGACTTGACGGTGAATCCCTTCGAGGAGGGCTTCAAACGCGCGATGGAGACTTACAAGTAAGTTCTTCATCATCATTTCAGACATAGGACGTCCACTTCTGAACATAGACCTCCCCAATTATATCCATAATTAACGGTTGGTAGAGACCCTACTTGTAGAGAGTCAAGAATTGCACGCGGTGGAGTGCAATCTGCCCTAGGCAGCCACAATTCCGCGTGCATCTCTCAAGATTCGGCCACAATAACCGCCAGGTTGGTATGCCCATGGGTCCTAGAACTATCCGATGAATAAAACGACGACACAATATTCTGAACAAAGAGAGCCAGAACTAAAAATGGAGGGAAACCTAGTAGGGATTAATGCTCCCAGCGCCTAATCAAACAGCAAATCTGTTCATAGTCTGCCAACTCAGTGTTTTCTTAACTTTTTTTGTCCATGTATCCCTTATGAAATCAAGCACAATTTTAAGGACCCCTTTAATAAAAAAGCACGCCGTGTTTTTTTATTAAAGGGGTCATAGCGATTACGAGAATTGGTGGTATTTATTTATAATTGTTGCTCCATAGATAAGGCTCTGGACCCCCACAATTGCTCACGGTCTCGTCCACCCACAAGGTGGACCGACGACCTGACAAAGGTAGCAGGGAGGCGCTGGATGCAGGCCGCTACCAACCGGGCGATGTGGAAGTCATTGGGGGAGGCCTATGTTCAGCAGTGGACGTCCTGTGGTTGAAATTATGATGTATCAGCTGTTAGAACAGTGTCTCTTAACCCGAAGGACGTCTCACGCCGCGTTTTCCGGTACGCGGCCTCAACTCTAGAACCTTGCTCCCCCATCGGCCGTCAGTTCTGCGTACTATGTGCCCTGCCCATTGCCACTTCAGCTTGCTAATCCGTCGGGCTATATCAGCGACTTTAGTTCGTTTACGGATCTCCTCATTTCATGATGTATAAATAGAAAAAATATTCTTCCGCAGACACGGCAGCCTCCTGGAAAGCACCCCGACCTCGACATCCGACGACCTGCATACGCCTCAGATGGTGTTCCCCATGATCGACCCCGGTGACTCCACGTTATACACCAGCAATAATCAGAGGAACATCACTATTAGCAGGTTGGTTACTTTAAATAATACAGATATGCTTATTACTACTTAGTTAGGTATTTAATTTTTAGCATTAAGAGTTGCATCTCAAACTAATTTGAAAATTATAAATAACTTGAAAAAAATCGAACTGCCTAAGGCGGGAATTGAACCCACGACCTTCCGCTTGCTTGCCGGGCGACTGCTCTTCCAACTGAACTACTTAGACACTGGATGAACCCATCGAAATTTTCAAATTTCGTAGGAAGCGGACGGTCGTGGGTTCAATTCCCGCCTTAGGCAGTTCGATTTTATAATTTTCAAATTACTACTACTTGTTACTTACAGGGCAGTTATGTATGTACCATCCTAGACTGCATCTCACTTAACATCAGGTGTGATTGCAGCCAAATACCTGCTTTTTTCTGCATATTAGGACTAACATTCAGTCTCATGGTCCCTTATTTCGTAAAAGGCGATTATAGGACAAATTAATAATGCGTATTGTTATTTTGACTGACAACTTTTGGTTTGCATGATGATACCTATCCTCAAGTATCCTCTTGTTTTTTAATCAGGTTTTTATTCCTTGTATATCAAAAAAATCAAAATCAAAAATATTTATTCAGTTTAGACCACAAGTGGCACTTATGAACGTCAAAATAATATAGTAAATAATGAAAAAAAAAGAAAAGGTAGCCCTTATGGGGCTAGTAAATAATAAAAAAGAAAACGTAGCCCTTATGGGGCATGTCTTATTTTAACCCTCTTTATTACTATAAGGCCACACATGTTAAATGGCAATGCCAGATTTTGTATGGAAAGTGGCGTCTTTTTTATTTTCGCGCGGCCATCGACCAAACTTTGTTTTTTGATTACAAAATAGTGTAATAAACCAAACTTACTATGACATGTATACCTCTAAACTCAGTCTGAACTGAGTTACGAGCATTAGAAGTTTGATGATTTTCATACTAGATTTGCTTTTTGTGCGCAAGTTTTGTAAGAAATTGCAACAAAATATTGCGCTATTTTTTATTGCGCTGATTCTGCTTCATACTGATGTCTGGAGTCTTTAATGGATGGTATTGTTTGTTTACACATACAATCTCACTATTTTGTTGCAATTTCTTACAAAACTTTGCGCGCAAAAAGCAAATCTAATATGAAAATCATCTAACTTCTAATGCTCGTAACTCAGTTCAGACTGAGTTTAGAGGTATACATGTCATAGTAAGTTTGGTTTATTACACTATTTTGTAATCAAAAAACAAAGTTTGGTCGATGGCCGTGCGAAAAAAAAAGACGCCAATTTCCGGCATTGTCTTTTGTGGTAGCAGTATATTTGCTAGAGCCCTATAAAGGGTTAGCAAGGAGAAGGTTAGCCCTTGAAAAAGTGTATCATAAAACCTGTTTCCGAGATAAAATTGTAACTACAAGTCTTGCATATTACATTACAGATCATCCAGCGACGAATCGGGCACAATCAAAGAGTATGAAACAACAACCATATCAAAATTAACTAACGAAGTCACCACCATCAGCAGAATCGTCAACAAGCACGACGTCATCGACAAGATACACGCCGATGACGTCATCAACAAAGACGATATCCGCCAGAAAGACGTGCACAACGAAACGTCAGTGTCGTTCACGAATAATGTTATAAAGATACATAATAATATAGAAATTAGGAAAGACAATTTGATTAATGTAGAAACAGCAAAGGTTGTACCTAGTATAATGTATACAGATTCGGTTATAAAAGACTCCAATAATGTTACTACTAAAGACGTTTTACTAACTGATGGAGCAAAAAATGAACTTCCAAAAGTGCCTCCTATGATGAGTCAAAAATCTTTAGACTTCGTCGTAGATTGTCTCACCTCAGATCTGTGTAGAGACGAAATTAAAAAACCGGCGCCCAAGCCCAAAACGCGAAAAGTTACTAAACCTAAAAGTCCAGTTACACCAAAGAGCGATACAAAAGAAGACTATGAAGTGATTATTAAATTACCAAATGGAAAACAAGTAAGAATGAAAGCTGTCGAAGAACTGAATCAAGATAAAGGGAAAAATATCGAAGATGATACAAAAGAGAAGTTAAAATTAGCAATAAATAACAAAGTATCGCAAAAACAACCGGTTATACAACGAATACCTAGCATCAATACTCAAATCCCAACCATCCTACCGATTTCTACCGGCACTCTAATACCGGTAACTATAGTAACCAGTAATAACGCTCAGATACTTCAAAAAGTTCCTATAGCACCTTTCAATCCTTTACAAAAACCGAATCAAGAGTTCAAAAAGACTGTCAAAAGAAAAAACGAT